GACCCCATACGGAGCTCCACCGAAAGCCCCAGTGGGACCGCCCGCGTGCTTCATTCACCACGCAGTACAGCGTTTCGTGGCCCCATATGGAGCCCCACCGAAGGCCCCAGTGGGACCGCCCGCATGCGTCATCCACCACCCAGTGCAACGTTCAATGGCGCCATAGGGAGCTCCACCGAAGGCTCCAATGGGACCGCCCGCGTGCGTCACCCACCACCTAGTACAGCGTTTCGCGGCCCCACAGAGGGCTCCACCGAAGGCCCCAGTGGGACCGCCCGCATGCGTCATCCACCACCCAGTGCAACGTTCAATGGCGCCATAGGGAGCTCCACCGAAGGCTCCAATGGGACCGCCCGCGTGCGTCACCCACCACCTAGTACAGCGTTTCGCGGCCCCACAGAGGGCTCCACCGAAGGCCCCAGTGGCACCGCCCGCATGCGTCATCCACCACCCAGTACAGCGTTTCGTGACCCCATACGGAGCTCCAGGGAAAACCCCAGTGGGACCGCCCGCGTGCGTCATCACCACCCAATACAGCGTTTCGTGTCCCGACAGGGAGTTCCACCTAAGGTCGCCGTGGCGGAATTCGCATGGCGGCGCAGTGGCGGAGTTCGCATGGCGGCGACTGTCGGTTTTCGGAGGTCATTTGTCGTGTTCGATGTATTGAAACCGCTTGCGGGCCGCGCATTCCGGGCGGGAGCCAGCTTGCTTTCTCTGCTCCGCGCAGCGGACGACCCGCGCGCGTCGCCGGGACCCCTTCGGGGCGACCAGCGCGCGTCGCGGGGAATCCGTGCGGCGCCGCGCCCGCAGCCTTGGACGTGGGTAGGGACCAACTGCGAACCCTACCCCTGCCCCCCACGATTTCTGAGGGGGAGGGGTCGGGTTCGCAGGTGGTTCCCTAGTGGGCGTGCGCGGGCAAAGAGGGAGAAACATAACGGGAAGGAAGCGGGCGCGATCTTCGTGAGAGGCGTGCCGACATGGGCGTCGACATTTATACATGTAGACTCCCGCGCGCGCGAACTCATCCACAATCGGACTCACTCGCTCTCAGTCTCTCGCACACAGACCAATCGTCTTCGCTCGCGTTGTGTGCCCCGCCACGCATGTCGGCACGCCCCTTCACACGGTTCGTTGCCACATAGGGAGCGCGGGCGCAGATGATATTCATAATTGCGGTATTCACAATAGCATATGGTTGGGTCCTTCGCCAGGCGATTTGTTGTTGTTGTTGTTGTTGTTGTTGTATTTTTGTATTTCCCAACCATCCTGTGGTGTTTGGGCCCTCGTTTTAAAGAGGCAGCGCTCCGCGTCCTCACTCCCTTCCTCCTCCCTCCTCCCCCTCCTCCCTCTTCACCCTTCGTTTCACCCATCCAGTGCAGCGCTTCGTGGCCTCATAGGGGGCTCCGCCGAAGACCCCAGTGCTACCTCCAGCATGCGTCACCCACGCACATGTCGGCACACCCCTCGCACGCTTCGTGGCCCCATAGGGAGCTCTACCGAAGGCTCCAGTGCGCATGCGTCATTTCCCGCCCAGTGCAACGTTTCGTGGCCCCATAGGGAGCCCCACCGACGGCCCCAGTGGCACCGCCCGCATGCGTCATCCACCGCCCATTACAACGTTTCGTGGCCCCATATTGGGAACTCCACCGAAGGCCCCAGTGGCACCGCCCGCATGCGTCATCCTCCACCCAGTACAGCGCTTCGCGGCGGTCCCATACTGGGAATTCCACCGAAGGCCCCAGCGGCACCGCCCGCATGCGTCATCCTCCACCCAGTACAGCGTTTCGTGGTCCCATAGGTGGCGCCACCGAAGGCCCCACCAGCACCGCCCACATGCGTCACCCCCACCCAGCACAGCGCTTCGTGGCCTCACAGGGAGCTCTTTCAAAGGCCACAGCGGCACCGCCCGCATTCGCAATCCCCCACCCAGTAGAGTGTTTCGTGGCCCCACAGGGAGTTCCACCGAGGGCCCCAACGGCATCGCCCGCATACGTCACCCACCACCCAATACAGCGTTTCGTGGCCCCACAGGGAGCTCCACCGAAGGCCCCAGCGGCACAGCCCGCATGCGCCATCCACCACCCAGTACAGACAACGCTTCGTGGCCCCACAGGGAGCTCCACCGAAGGCCCCAGTGGGACCGCCCGCGTGCGTCACCCCCACTCAGTATAGCGCGTCGTTGCTCCATAGAGAGCTCCACCGAGGGCCTCAGCGGCACCGCCCGCATGCGCCACCCCCCTCCCAGCAGAGTGTTTCGTGGCCCCACAGGGAGCCCCACCGAAGGCCCTAGTGGCACCGCCGGCGTGCGTCACCCCCCACCCAGTACACCGCTTCGTTGCTCCATAGAGAGCTCCACCGAAGGGCACAGTGGCATCGCCCGCATGCGCCACACCCAACCAGTACAGCGCTTCGTGGCTCCATAGGGAGCTCCACCGAGGGCCCCAGTGGCACCGCCCGCATGCGCCACACCCAACGAGCCAGCACAGCGCTTCGTGGCCCCATATTGGGAACTCCACCGAAGGCCACAGCGGCACCGCCCGCATGCGCCACCCCCACCCAGTGCAGCGCTTCGTGGCCCCATAAAGGGCTCCGCCGACGGCCCCAGTGGCACCGCCCGCATGCGTCATCCACCACCCAGTACATCGCTTCGTGGTCGCATAGGGAGCTCAACCGAGGGCCCCAGCGGCACCGCCCGCATTCGTCACACCCCACCCAGTACAGCGCTTCGTGGTCCCATAGGGAGCGCCACCGAACCCCAGTTGGACCGCCCGCCTGCGTCATCCACCACCCAGCACAGCGCTTCGTGGCCCCATAAGGGGGCTCCACAGGAGGCTCCAGTGGGACCGCCCGCATGTGTCACCTCCACCAGGTACAGCGCTTCGTGGCCCCATAGGAAGCTCCACCGAAGGGCACAGTGGCGCCGCCCGCATGCGTCCCCCCCAACGAGTAGAGCGTTTCGTGGTCCCATAGGGAATTTAACGACAGGCCCCAGTGGATGCACATGCATGCGCCACCCCCGTCCAGTGCAGCGCTTCGTGGTCCCATAGGAGCTCCAACGAAGGCCCCAGTGGCGGTTCTCGCATGCGTTCCCACCACCCAGCACAGCACCTCGCGGCTTCATAGGGGGGCTGCACCGAAGGCCCCGGCTGCTGTACTCGCATGCGTTTCCCCACCCATTGCATTGTTTCGTTGCCCCGTAGGGAGCTCCGCCGAAGGCCACAGTGGCGGCCCCGCCCCACTGCGGCGCACTTTTCGCGGCCCCGTGGCGGCCCCGCCCCGCATTGGCACACCCTTCGCATGCTTCATGGCCGCGTGAGAAGATCATCCGAAGGCGATGCCGGCAACGACGGTACTCACAACTGCAAATGGTTGGGTTCTTCGCAAAGATGAGTTGCATGTTTCGTCTAAAATCCGCCTGTAGGGGGACACGCCCGACCTAACCTTAGCATTCTTCCATGCCTCAATGGGCCTGGGGAACGTCGGCGTGCAATAGGCCTACAATCGCCCGCGCCACGAGAGCCTCCGCGCGAGCCTCGCCTCGGAAGCAGTGTTCCGCTCCATGTGTTTGCCTTCAACCGACGCTGTGTTCAGCAACGAAAGGGCTATTCCTCCACCTCAACCTCGTCCGCCCCCTTGCCCTCCACCCCGGCCTCCACTTCCTCTTCCTCGAACTCTTCCTCTCCTCCTCGTCCAATCTGCACGCACGAAATGGGTACTGCAAGAATGGGTACAATGCCCAACAGCGGATCTGGTTCATTTTGAACAGGGCTCGCTGTCCACGCCGCCGCGGCCTGTGTCCATTCGAGACAGGAGGCCGCCTGCCCAACAGCGGCCGCTGTTGGTTTGGGACAACATTTGCTGTTGGGCATTGTACCCATTTTTTCGGTACCCATTTCGGGCGTCCAAATCCAATTTCTTTTCCACCTCCACCTCTTTCCCCCCCCACGGCGTCCCCCTCGTCTTACACCTCCTCGTCCCCGTCCTGTTCATCTTCGTCGTTCTCCTCTTCCAATTCCACCTCCTTCTTCCCCTCCCTCCTCCTCGCCTCCATGGGGTTCTCCCATCCATCGGCGAGGCTCGTGCTCCTTCCCGTCCTTCACCTCCTCGTCCTCCACCGTGTCCTCCACTCTGTCTTCCACGCGGTCCTCCACTTTCTTCTCTAACACCTCCTCTCCTCCCCGCCGTCCTCTTCAACCTTACCTTCTTCGCCCACTCCGCCTTATCGTCAACTAAGTCCTGGGCTCAAGCCTGGCAGGCCACGTCCTGCTTCGCGTGTTTCCCCTGACGCCAACGCGGACGCTGTTCGCAGGGTCCGTGTGACCTCATCGCGATGCTGCCGTGCCGCCTCTTGGGGTCTTCTTGGCGGCTGTCGGGCGCCTCTTGGCGGCCTTGAGGGCCTTCCTGGGCCGTCTTCAAAGGCATGGAGAGCTGTGGAGAGGTCCGGGGAGGCGTCGGGTCGCCCATGGGGCTTCGGGACGGAGGGGGAGATGTATGCGAGGGGGCGTGATGGGGGCGTGAGTCGGATGGGGGGGATGCCCAAGAGCTCTTACTCAAGCACTGCCAGACAGCACGTGGCAGCGTGCCAGGGGGCATGGCTGCTCATGATCCTCCCCCTCCTCCTGTTCCTTGTCTTCCTGCACTTCCTGCTCACGATCTTCATGCTGATACGGATTTTCTATCTCATCCTAATCCTCCAGATTCTCGTTGCCCTGCGCCACGATGTATCCCAAGCCCGCGCGAAGCGCGCTTGCGTGGTTCTAGTCAGTCTATCTATCGATCTAGCCATTGATCACCCCCCACCAAACCACCCCAACCCAACCCGAAGGCCTCAATTTGCCCTCCATTTCCAGTGGGGGGGGGGTCCGGGAACATCGAAACAGCACCTATGGAGCCCATACCCCCCCCAACCCGAAATTCGGGTCTTCGGGTTGGGTTGGGGTGGTCTGGTAGGCAGTCAATTGGTCTGGCCATCTGTCGGTCTCGCCGTCGGCCGCCGAGAGGCGACGTCCGCCGCCGAGCAGAAGCGGGGGTACGCGGCCGAGAAGATCACGGAGCTGAACGCCCAGATGGCGGGGTCCGAGGCGTCGAGGGCTTGGCAGACCGCCAGGAGATGTTTCAGAGGCAAGAACGGCACAAACATTTCGGCGGGCTTCCTCCTTTTCCTCCTCCTCCTCCCATCCTCCTCCTCCTCCTCCTCCTCCTCCTCCTCCTCCTCCTCCTCCCATCCTCCTCCTCCTCCTCCTCCTCCCCTCCTCCTCCTCCTCCTCCTCCTCCCTCCTCCTCCTCCTCCTCCTCCTCCTCCTCCTCCTTCTCCTGGTGATCGTTTTCTTATTCATCGTTTTGCCGATCGGCGCGGGCCATCGCACCCCGTCCCCCCCACATGGAGTAGATCTTGGCTGTCTTTGGCGCCTGTCTCAAGCACGTGGAGGCTCCCCCACAGGGTGCACTGTTGCAAACCAACGTCGGGACGCCGACAAAGAAGACGTTCACCTGCGCGGATTTCTTGGATCTGCCCCCTCTGGCAACGCCTCGGGCGCCGCCCCCTGGCGCGCTCCGCACGCCAGGAAGGGGTCCCAGCACCGTTTCGGCTGTTTCTTGTCCCTCTCCTGGGGCCTCTGTTGGGCTTTTTGAAACCCCTCTTGGGGCCTCTTGGGGGCATCTTGCTGGCCTCTCGGTGCCTCTTGGGCGCCTCTTGTGGCCTCCTAGGGGCCTCTTGGGGCGGAAGGCTTGGATTTTCGGTTCGTGTTCCCTCTCTTAGGCCCCTTTGGGGGCCGTCTTGGTTGGGGCCTGTGGATCTCCACTTGGGGCTTCTTTTTGGCCGCCATGGCTGGATTCCCCTTTCGGAACTCTTGTCCAATCGCACCCATAGGGAGGTCCTGGGAACCGAGATGCCGCGCGGATCGCCGTCGCCGTCGCTGTCGCCGTCGCCGTCGTCCCCGTCGCCGTCGCCGTCGCTGTTGCCTTCGCCGTCGCCGTCGTCTTTGCGTCCCCGACCCTCGGGGACGCCCCGCGGGCTTGAACGCCCAGGTAGCCGACAGTGCTCCTGCCGACAAGTGTTCCTGTAGTCGTCGCGGTATTCATCAACTGGCCTGTGCAGTCCTTCCGTCCGCCTCCCTCCCTCCTGGCCTGTTCAGTCCGCGCCCCGCCGCCCGCGCTGTCCCTCGCGTCCGCGTCGCGATGATGATGATGATGAGGAGGAGGAGGAAGAGGAGGAGGAGGATGAGGAGGAGGATGAGGAGGAGGATGAGGAAGAGGAGGAGGAGGAGGAGGAGGAGGAGGAGGGAGGAAGAGGAGGGAGGAGGCGAAGAAGGAGGAGGAGGAAAAGGAAGAGGAGGAGGATGAGGAGGAGGAGGTGGAGGATGAGGAGGGAGGGAAAGGAGGGAGGAGGAGGAGGAAGAGGAGGAGGAAGAGGAGGACGAGGAGGAGAAGGAGGAGGACCAGTGGAAACCCAATAATCATTAACGATGTTGGAATTAATCCTCTTTCCAAGATCCCTCTTCATAAGCCCCTACAACGGTTCATTTCCATTGAGGGAACTGCCTCGTTGGAAGACAACCGTTTGACGACCTTGAAGCATGCCAAAACATGGTTCTCGGGGCTTCACGCCACGGATCAACCTGCCTGCTGCATCCAGACGATCTGGAATCGTGCGGGAACGCTATTTTTTGACTTCAACACCGCGACTCAACACAACTGTTGCACCTGGAAAATCACGATTTTTTCCAGAACGCCATTTCTGATACGTGGATGATGGGAATCCGTGAACCTCTTGCACATTTGAAAACGAATGTGCGCGTCGCTAAGGCGAGAGTCACATGTTGAAAACCACCCGCCTTCAAACCATGAAACTCTTCTAATAAAACGTTTGTGCGGCGCTAAGGCGAGAGCCACATTTTGAAAACCACCCGCCCTCAACCCGTGAACCTCTTGCACTTAGTAAGAGGACTATGCGCAGCGCTGAGGCGAGAGCCACATTTAGAAAACGACCCGCCCTCAATCCGTGAAGCTTTAGCAACCTCTTAAAACGAATGTGCGTGACGCTAAGGCGAGACCATTTTGAAAACGACCCGCCCTCAATCCGCGAAGCTCTTGCAATTTGTTAAAACGAATGTGCGCGGCGCGAAGGCGAGAGGCACATTTTGAAAACGACCCGCCCTCCATCTGAGAAACTGTTGCCATTTTTAGCGTCAGAGTCATACATGGTCAGGAAGTCTCAGGCGAAACGCCCGGCCCGCTTTAAAACTTGCCTTGGGGTGCGACAGGGAGAGGTGATTCATAAGGAAAAGGAATGGAGGAGGAGGATGAGGAGGAGGAGGAGGCGGAGGAGGAGGCGGAGGAGGAGGCGGAGGAGGAGGCGGAGGAGGAGGCGGAGGAGGCGGAGGAGGAGGAGGAGGAGAGGAGGAGGAGGAGGAGGAGGAGGAGGCGGAGGAGGAGGCGGAGGGAGGGAGGGGAGGAGGAGGCGAAGGAGGAGGAGGAGGAGGAGGAGAAGGAAGGAGGGAGGAGGGAGGCTACAGCGCCGCCTGTTTCCCGCCCTTCCGCCGCTGCCCGCCGCTGCCTCCGTCCGGGCGCCACGTCGGGCTCCGCGTGCCCCCCTCTTGCTTGCCAGGTCCATCGGCGGGCGAGGCCGCCGCTCTTGCCGTTCCGCTCAACGGATGAGGAGGAGGAGGGAGGAGGGAGGAGGGAGGAGGGAGGAGGGAGGAGGGGGAGGAGGGAGGAGGAGGGAGGAGGGAGGATGAGGATTAGGAGGAGGGAGGAGGGAGGGAGGGAGGAGGGAGGAGGAGGCGGAGATGTGAGGGGGCCGGGAGGCCCTGCGCGACAAGCTCTCCGAGGAGCTGAGCGTGTTGTCCTCGGAGGTCGCGGAGCTCAAGGCCAATCGCGAGAAGGCGGAGGCCATTCGCGCAAAGGAGAAGGCCAGGACGGGGTGGGGGTGCGTGATGATCATGATGAGGTTGACGATGGTGGTGATGAGTTAGTTGATGATGGTGGTGATACGAATGATGTGACATTCATGTCGATGGTAATGGTGATGGTGATGGTTATGGTGATGGTTGTGGTGGTGATGATGATGATGTTGGTGGTTCTGGTGATGGTGATGATTCTGCTGCTGCTAATGGTGGTGGTGGTTACGGTGATGATGATGATGATGATGATGATGATGATGATGATGATGATGATGATGATGATGATGATGATGATGATGATGATGATGATGAGTGATGCTGATGGTGATGCTGATGACGATGGCGATGAGCGGTAAATGCATAAGGATGTCGATGATGTTGATGACAGTGATGACGATGCTAATGCTGCTAATCAAGTGGTTGCTGATGACGACCGTGCAGCTGCTGCTGATGAGGACGAGGAGGAGGAGGAGGGGGATGAACAGGAGGAGAAGCCCTCTACTCCTCGTCTTCTGTCTCGCTGCCTTGTGTGGCGCTGTCGGGCGTCCCCGCCATTCTCAAGTCGGCGACTGTTTTTGGTAAGGCAAAGCGGCTTCATGGAGAGCGGTGTTTCCTGGTGCGTCTGAGCATGATTAGTGGCGGCGGTTTCCACAATCGAAGTATAATTTGCCGGGCGAAGGACCCAACCATATGCAGTTGTGAATACCGCAATGATGAATATCATCTTCGCCAGCGCTCCTTATGGGGCCACGAACCGTGTGAGGGGCGTGCCGACATGCGTGGCGGGGCACACAACGCGAGCGAAAACGATAGGTCTGTGTGCGAGATACTGGGAGCGAGTGAGTCTGATTGTGGATGAGTCTGCGCGCGCGTGAGCCTACGTGCATAAATGTCGACGCCCATGTCGGCACGCTTCTCACGCGGATCGCGCACGCTTCCTTCCCGTTCTTCTTCTCCCTCTTTGCCCGTGCGCGCCCACGTCCAAGGCTGAGGGCGCGGCGCCGCACGGAGTCCCCGCGACGCGCGCTGGTCGCCCCGAAGGGGTCCTGGCGACGCGCGGGGGTCGTCCGCTGCGCGGAGCAGAGAGAGCGAGCAGGCTGGCTCCCGCCCGGGATGCGCGGCCCGAAAGCGTCCTCAATACGTCGAATGCGACGAAGAACCTTTCCCATGCGAGTTCCGCCACGGAGACCTTAGGTGGAATTCCTTGTGGGGACACGAAGCGCTGTACTGGGTGGTGGATGACTCATGCGGGTGGTCCCACTGGGGCCTTCGGTGGAGCTCCCTATGGGGCCACGAAGCGCTGTACTGGGTGGTGGATGTCGCATGCGGGCGGTCCCACTGGGAGCCTTCGGTGGAGCTCCCTATGAGGTCACGAATCGCTGTGCTGGGGGGTGGATGACGCATGTGGGCGGTCCCACAGGGGCCTTCGGTGGAGCTCCCTATGGGGTCACAAAGCGTTGTGTTGGGTGGTGGATGACGCATGCGGGCGGTTTCACTGGGGCCTTCGGTGGGACGGCCCACGAAAACTCCAAAGAAACCCCAAGACGGCCCAAGAGAGACCCAAGACGGCCCAACAGGCGCCCCGGATGGCCAACGGGTTCCCAAAAGGCTACCAAGAGGTTCTTCAATATCCGCAAGACACCCCCAGAATCCTCGCAGACGCCACGCGTCTACCCCTTAAACGACGTTCCCATGGCGGTTTCCAGGGAGCGCTTCCGAGCTAGATGCCTCATTCGAGATCCCGATGAACGCCGCAGGGGCCTCACGTACACGTCCTACACGATGTTCCAGGCGATGCTCCTGGAAATATCCATTCGGACTCGGGCCTATCATATCCCTCCCTGGGATGCAACACCGGGCGTCGGATACCTTATTCGCTGTCGACATTCCCAAGTCCCGCGTGCTTTGCCTGTTGCGATTCGCCGTCGCTGGTGGTCTGCGGAGGACGAGGAAGAGGAGGAAGAGGAGGAGGAGGAGGAGGAGGAGGAGGCGGAGGCGGAAGCGGATGCGAAGGCGGCGGCGAAGGAGGAGGAGGAGGACGAGGAGGAGGAGGAGGAATAGGAAGGATGAGGAGGGCGGAGGGATGATGAGGGATGATGAGGGATGATGATGATGATGATGATGCTGATGATGATGATGATGATGATGATGATGATGTTAATGATGATGATGATGATGATTATGTGATGATGATGATGATGATGATGATGATGATGATGATGATGATGATGATGATGCTGATGATGATGATGAAGAGGAGGAGGGAAAAGGAGGATGAGGAGGAGGAAGAGGATAACTCGAATTAGGAAGTTGAAGAGGCAATCGCACGGAGACGGGGATGCCGATCATTATGCGTTAGAAGGGAGGGGCAGGAAGGAAGCAACGGACGAAGGACGGGGGAGGACGATGAGGAGCAAGAGGGGGAAGTGAGGAGGGAGGGAGGAAGTGGCAGCAGGCGTGCCCGAGGGGCGTCCAAGGTTGAAGCCGTGGTGTCCGCGAGACGCGGTCAAGGGGGGAGTGCCACGGGAACGTCCAAGGCTGAAACCGTGGTGTCCCACAGGCGCCCGCCCGGCGGCGAGACGCGGTCAAGGGGGGGGGGGGGCCCGGGGGGCGCTGAAGGTGAAAGCCCCGGTGTCCCGAGCCTCGGCGAGTCGCCCCCCCCCCCCCCCTGGGGCGCGGTCACAGGGGGGGTGCCCGCAGGGCGGTCAAGGTCGAAGCCCGTGGCGCCCCGAGGCGCGCCCGCGGCCGCGAGATGCAGTCAAGGTGAGGTGCTTGGGGGGCCTTCCAAGGTTGAAGGCGTGGTGTCCTGGACTCCGGGTTGAAGCCATGGTGTCCTGCGCTTTCCCCCCCGGCTGCGCGCGTCCGCGAGGAAGCGAGGCTGGCAATGATGCCTGGACCATGCGCGCTGGTAGCAGCCCATGTCCACGGCTTGGAAGTGTGGCTCTCCCCTTCGCTTCGGCCACGCTCCCAGCTCGAGGGGGGAAGCAGGAGGAGGTGCTCCCACTTCGGCGCGAGCCTTTTTCCTGGCCGGAATTCGCGTTTTTACCTCGCGCGGACTGCGTTCCTGTGCCCGCCTAGCTTTTGGCCATACTCCGGCCCAGGCAGAGTTTTCGCTTCAGCGCCAGCGGCATTGCCAGCCTGGACTGGCGCTCCTGCCCAGGCGCTGGTCGCATCACCACTGCAGAAGGCTTGCCGTTTAGTGTTCGAGGAAATCCAGGATCTCTCCTGGGGTCCGCCGGGGGCCCTGTTGGGTTTCTCTCAGGCCTCAGTTGGGCGCTTTCGGGCGAATTTAATCTCTGATGCCCTGGCGGAATGAAGGCGACAACGCCAATACCAACGTAAATCATACGTCACACTCCGCGCTTGCGCATCAGAGTGAGGGGTGGTGGTGCGTGCCCCCAAAACGTGGCCCCGAATAGCTGCCCCCCGCGTGTAGCCCCCAATGTGTGGCGCCCACTCGTGGTCCCCAAGTTTGTTCCCGAAGTGTGTGTAGGTGTAGGTTCGCATGCGCGTGTGCTTATACACGCGCGTGTGTGCACACGTTTTTTTCTCTCTTTTTCATTCTATATCAATATTATGTTTATACTTTCCATCAAATTTGTCGTGGATTTCGCACTTTAAGTCCGATACATACTACCACCTCAGCGCGCGCGAAGCGCGCGCGCGTTGCTCTTGTATAGATACATATGCAGACTTAGATACACACATTTTTGGGATTTCACTACAAAAGGGTATGATCTGACTTTTTCGAAGGGGTCTGATTTCGGAGGGTTTCGGGAGGTCTGGGTCAACGGCCTCCCTTTCATGGCTGGTCTGGGGGAAGTCTATATTTGCTAGCTTAGGAGGGCTTGACCCCTCCCCGTTATTATGAATTCCACGGTATCTATTGCGAGTCGCTCAACCCGTGCTTGCGAGAACACGAAATTGCTCAGTTGCTGAAGCTTTGCTGTCTCGCAGCCTGATGGCTCCCGCAAAGGAGGCCGTCGGTTATACCCTGTGAGAGAGAGAGGGGTAGAGAGGGAGAGAGCGAGAGAGGGAGTGATACATATATATATATAGATAGAGAGAGAGAGAGAGAGAGAGAGAGACAGAGAGAGATAGAGAGTGAGAGAGTATCAGAGAGCGAGAGAGAGGGGCATGGATACGCATATTTGCACACATGTTAATATTGTGTGTATGCGTGTCTGTATATATATATATATCTATATCTATACAGTGAGAGAGTGTGCTGGTGTGTACATGTATGCATGTATATATGCCTATGTGCTATAGGGCAAGGGAGAGAAAAGCGACAACCAGGGGGAGAAAGAGAGAGAGAGAGACATAGAGAGAAAGAGAGAGAGAGAGAGAGAGACAGATCGAGAGAAAGAGAGAGAGAGAGAGAGAGACAGCAGCCTTGCGGGAAATCCACTTTTCCCTCATCCCTCTGCCTTGTTTTCCGGCGTGCGTGCTTTGAGGGACCAATGGTGGGAATGGTCGAGAGAGAGAGAGAGAGAGAGCGAGTGAGAGAGAGAGAGAGAACACGGACAACATTGCATCGAGGGGAAGGGCAGTTTGAAAGGAGGCAGGGCGGAGGGCGGAAGCAGAAGGAGGAACGCACGGAGTACTGTTCATGCGAATCGCCGTGTTCTTTTTCGGTGTTGCTGAGGCTGGTGTTGGTAATGATGATGACGACGATCATGGCGATGGCGATGGTGATGGTGGTGATGATGTTGATGCTGATGGTGGTGATGATGAAGGTGGTGATGACGATACCGTTCTGAATGATGATGATGGTAATGGTAAAGATGATGCTGGTGATGATGATGATGATGATGATGATGATGATGATGATGATGATGATTATGATGATGCTGATGATGCTGATGATGTTGATTATGATGATGATGATCGTAATGATGATGATGGTAATGATGATGATGGTACTGAACATGCTGGAAATGGTGCGCTTGGTGGTGGCGGTGATGGTGATGCTGCTCAGGACGAAAAGTATCATGACTGTAGGGAGGATTTGGGTGGCGGTGGCGGAGGAGGACGGGGGGGCCGAATATGACGAGGACGTGGGCCAGATGCCACCCGTGGCCGATCTGGCGGCAGGTGGGCAAACCATGGGAGGAGGGGACGGCGGAGGTGGTGCGAGGAAGAGGAGCACGCGCCGCGCGCAGCGCACGAGAGAGTTCGGCTTAAGTCGGGCCTGTCCCTCTACAGGAGGAATATTCAAAATTAGCTTGGCGAAGAACCCAACCATATGCAGTTGTCAGTACCGCAGCTGCGGGTTTCATCTTCAATGGAACTCCCCATAGGATTACGGAACGTGTGAGGGGTGTGCCGAGATGGGTGCCACTGGGGCATTCGGCGAAGCTCCCTATGGGGACATGAAACACGCGCGGGGCGTGCCGACATGGGTGGCGGAAACGCATGTGCGGGCCGCCACTGGGGCCTCCAGTGGAGCTCCCTATGGGTCCCCGAAACATGATGCTGCTGCGGGGGGGGGGGGCCGGGATGGGTGGCGGAGACGCATGTAAGCGCCGCTACTGGGGCCTTCGGTGGAGCTCCCTATGGGGCCACGAAGCGCGTGAGGGGTGTACTGGGATGTGTGGCGGGGACGCATGTGAGCGCCGCCACTGGGGCCTTCGGTGCAGCTCTCTATGGGGCCACGAAACGTGTGAGGGGTGTGCCGAATTGGGTGCGGGTGGTGACGCATGCGGGCGGCAGCACTGGGGCCTTCGGTGGAGCTCCCCATGGGGCCACGAAACCTGTTGTTGTGAGGGGCGTGCCGGGATGGGTGGCGGGGACGCATGTGAGCGCGGCCGCTGGGGCCTTCGGTGGAGCTCCCTATGGGGCCACGAAACGTGTGAGGGGTGTGCCGAATTGGGTGGGTGTGGGTGACGCATGTGAGCGCCGCCACTGGGGCCTCCGGTGGATGATGGGGCCACGAAACCTGTCAGGGATGTGCCGAAATGGGTGTGCGGGACGCATGCGCATGTGAGCGCCGCCACTGGGGCCTTCGGTGGAGCTCCCTATGGGGCCACGAAACGTGTGAGGGGTGTGCCGAAATGGGTGTGGGTGACGCATGCGGGCGCGGGCACTGGGGCCTTCGGTGGAGCTCCCTATGGAGCCACGAAACGTGTGAGGGGTGTGCCGAAATGGGTGTGGGTGACGCATGCGGGCGCGGGCACTGGGGCCTTCGGTGGAGCTCCCTATGGAGCCACGAAACGTGTGAGGGGTGTGCCGAAATGGGTGTGGGTGACGCATGCGGGCGCGGGCACTGGGGCCTTCGGTGGAGCTCCCTATGCAGCCACGAAACGTGTGAGGGGTGTGCCGAAATGGGTGTGGGTGACGCATGCGGGCGGCAGCACTGGGGCCTTCGGCGGAGCTTCCCTATGGGGCCACGAAACGTGTGAGGGGTGTGCCGAATTGTGTGTGGGTGACGCATGCAGGCGGCAGCACTGGGGCCTTCGGCGGAGCTCCTATGGGGCCACGAAACGTGTGAGGGGTGTGCCGAATTGGTGTGGGTGACGCATGCGGGCGCAGCACTGGGGCCTTCGGTGGAGCTCCCTATGGAGCCACGAAACGTGTGAGGGGTGTGCCGAAATGGGTGTGGGTGACGCATGCGGGCGCGGGCACTGGGGCCTTCGGTGGAGCTCCCTATGGAGCCACGAAACGTGTGAGGGGTGTGCCGAAATGGGTGTGGGTGACGCATGCGGGCGCGGGCACTGGGGCCTTCGGTGGAGCTCCCTATGGAGCCACGAAACGTGTGAGGGGTGTGCCGAATGGGTGTGGGTGACGCATGCGGGCGCGGGCACTGGGGCCTTCGGTGGAGCTCCCTATGGAGCCACGAAACGTGTGAGGGGTGTGCCGAAATGGGTGTGGGTGACGCATGTGGGCGCGGGCACTGGGGCCTTCGGTGGAGCTCCCTATGGAGCCACGAAACGTGTGAGGGGTGTGCCGAAATGGGTGTGGGTGACGCATGCGGGCGCGGGCACTGGGGCCTTCGGTGGAGCTCCCTATGGAGCCACGAAACGTGTGAGGGGTGTGCCGAAATGGGTGTGGGTGACGCATGCGGGCGCGGGCACTGGGGCCTTCGGTGGAGCTCCCTATGGAACCACGAAGCGGTGTACTGGGTGGGTGAAGAGGAGAGGAGGAGAGGAGGGGAGGAGAGGAGGAGAGGAGAGGAGAGGAGAGGAGAGAAGAGGAGAGGAACGCGGGGCACCGTCTCTTCAAAGCGAGGACCCAACACCACAGGATGGTTGGGGAATAGTGAAAGAACAGTATGGGGACGATCTTTTGACAATTTTTCCCCGTTGGTGGGGTATTTTTTGAGTATTTTCATTTTTCGCCCAAAATCCCCCTGCAAGGGGACACGCCCGACTTAAAGTTCGGCCCGGGAGGCCGAGAGCGAGGAGGCCATTGCCGACGCGACGGCGGGGCTGGAGGCCGTCCAGATGGCCATGGACAGCAGACGGGGGGAGGGGATCCACGGGGAGGGAACGGAGCCCCCTCCTCTCGTCTCTTTCCTCCCGCTCTTGCCTCCCCTGGGGCGGAACGCCGGCTTACCCTGCTGGCAATGCGAGCTATTTCGCAGTGCCACCTGGTGTGTGTGCTACGGGAGGTCTGTCGAAGGGTGCGTTATTTGCGGCGGAAAAAAAAACGGGGGGAGGGGATCCAGTCGGGCGACGGGAGCTGTTCGCCCGACCGACCCCAGCCAGGCCCACTTGTTGCCCAGGATGGGCGTGTGCATACGTATCAGTGCATGTGTGTGTGTATCCACGTTTGCATACATATATATATATATATATGTATTTATTTATTTATGTATTATTTTCTGCGCAGGCTAGGTGCTTGAGGGAGATATACCGGATACAACCCTCATATTACAGCCGTGTGTCCAACAGCGCCGTCTTGAGCATGGCAGGAGAAATGCCTTTGAGCCAAGCCATTGCAAAAGACAGATGGTATTTTTAGGGAAGCTCACAAGGCGCCCTGGCAACGACCCGGTGCGCAGCTCCGTCCTGCAGCCTGGCGGCATGGAGCTCCGAATGCCGACAGGGACCCTGCCCGACAGATGTGGGGTAGCATGGTGATGAACAATTGCATGAAGGTCGCTGGCTCCCACGACCGCCTGGCTGACTTCTTCCGGCTGGAGGCCAGTTCAGCCGCAGAGCGGGAGGCAGCTGTCATATCATGGCACAATTGACGCATCGTGGCTCCCCTCCTTTCCCTTCCCTCCTCCTCCTCCTCCTCCTCCTCCTCTCTGACACGTTTTTAGCCACACATGCTTGCAAGGCCTGTTTCTGGATGGAGTGCCGAGGGGCCCTGTCGCAGGCGCGATCGTTATTGCTTCACTCTGGTCGCGCGCCGTCTGGCGCAAGGCTTCTGACTGACTTCCGGCCCGCGGGGGCAAATCTCTGGGCCCTGGGACCATCAAGCGCTGAGCCGGGACGCAAAGCAACCCCTGGGCGCAAGGATTCATACCTATCATATGTATATGTGCATATATATGTATATGCACGTGTACCGATTCATGTGAATGTGTACGCATGTGAATGTGTGCATGTGTATGTGTGTGTTTCTGTGTATATATACATAGGTAAATGTATGTGTAGATGTTAGTGTACATGTTTATGTACACGTATGCTTATATGCGCGTTTGTATACATTTTTATGTAGCCGTATATCACGTATACATGTATATTTGTATATGCTTCTAATTGCACCTAGATGCATTCACACATGCATACACATATATATATATATATATATATATATGGTATATATATATATATATATATTACCACGGCTGTATGCATGCATGTATGTATTTGTATGTATGTATGTATGCATGTGTGTATGCATGCATGTATGCATGTATGCATATACGTATATATATAGGTATATATGTATGCATGCATGTATGTATGTTTATATGCATGTATGCATGTGTAATTATATACATGTATGTATACATTCATGTATGTAAATTCATATGTATGCATGTACGTAGGTATGTAGGCAGACTGGGCAGGTCGGCATGCATGTATGTTTGCATGTACAGATCGATGCACATATGCATGCATGCATGTGTGCATATATGTATGCATGTATGTATGTATGTATGTATGTATGTATGTATGTATGCATGTATGTGTGTGTGTGTGTGTGTGTGTGTATGCAGGCATGCATGCATGAATGTATGTATGTATGTAGGTAGGTATGCATGTATGCATGTACGTATTGGTGACGCCCTCCTCAAGAGGAATACCCACGACAGGTGGCGTGTGTGTGTGTGTGTGTAGGTGTGTGTGTGTGTGTAGGTGTGTAGGTGTGTGTGTGTGTGTATGTGTGTGCGTGCGGGCATGTTCGGCCTCCGCGGGGCCCTTGCGTGGCTTTGTGACCGTCAAACGCGGTTCAGGACGACACATCGGCCCATGATATGAGTTCCATAGGTTTACGTTGCGGACAAAACACGACGCCAGGGGTCTGGCGAGAACATGTGTGAGCCACGCACCCATGCTGTTCATTACGCCGAGGTGGGGGAGGACAGGTATTTGACCACGTCTTTCGTTCTTGTCGGGGCGGCTTCTCTTCGCCATGGTTGGATTCTTCTTCGAAGTTGTTGGCGCTTCGCGTAGCCCCACCAATTCATCCAGAAACGACCTCCAGACGAATCGAACAATATATGCATTCGCGGATGGACGCGCGTGAGGTGTAAGAAGAGGAGGCGGAGACAGAGGAGGATGACGAGGGCGATCAGACGGACAATGGATTTCACAGACCACGTTCCTGCCCGTCGAAGCCCGACAAGTCGCCAGCTGGGCCCCCCTTGGAGCCTTTATGAGGAGCTCTTGGGCTCGCTTGGGGCCATATTGGAGCCCTTCTTGGCCCCTATTGGAGTTCTCCTGAAGGTCGTTACCTTTCCCCTATGGCCGTCAACTACAGTGATCCAGGATGTCAGTTACCCGAGACGTACCCACCCCCTCTCCATGCGAGGCGATGCCTGTACTCTCCATTCGAAAGAACACACCGCCAGGAATGCGCACCCTCCCAGGGAGGAGCGAGGTCTCGTCTGGATGCGCGTGGCCCCCGTCTCCGCTGGACCTCCCAGGAGCCCACGGGTGACAATTGCACAGTCGGCGCCCCCCCATGGAGCAGCGAGGTCTCGTCTGGGTGCGCGTGATCCCCGACTCCTTGGGACATCCCAGGTGCCCACAAAAGTGGCGACAGTTGCACAGTTGGCAGCCCCTCAGGGAGCAGCGAGGTCTCGTCTGGGTGCGCGTGGCCCCCGACTCCGTTGGATATCCCAGGAGCCAACGAAAGTGGTGACAGTTGCGCAGGGCGCAGCCAACCAGGGAGCAGCAAGGTCTCGTCTGGGTGCGCGTGGGCCCTGACTCCGCTGGGCCTCCCAGGAGCCCGCGAAAGTGGTGACAATTGCGCAGTTCACATCCACTCAGGGAGCAGCGAGGTCCCGTCTGGGTGCGCGTACTCCCCTACTCAGCCGTGCCTCCCAGGAGCCCACGAAAGTGGTGACAGTTTCGCAGTTCGCAGCTCTCCAGGGAGCAGCGAGGTCCCGTCTGGGTGATCGTGCTCCCCTACTCCGCCGTGCCTCCCAGGAGCCCATGCAAGTGGCCCCATTTGCGCAGTTCGCAGCTCTCTAGGGAGCTGCGAGGTCTCGGCTGGGTCCGTTTGCTCCCCGACTCCGCCGTGCCTCCCAGGAACCCACGAAAGTGGCGCCAGTTGCGCAGATCGCAGACCCCCAGGGAGCAGCGCAGGACGAGGCGGGAGGAGTACATAGACAGGAGGAGGGGGAGGAGAAGGAGAGGTTGTGCGATCGCAGTGCTCTATCCCGAACGAGAACCCAACACAGGGGCGCTGGGAAAACTGAGTCCCCGGGAAGGGCCAAGAGGTCTGGGGACCCCGTGCATCTTGCATGGACGACGCGTGACGCTGGAGGTCTCGGTGCGTGCTGGTCCAGGGGCGAGGAGGGCGAGGGCGAGGAGGGCGAGGAGGGCGAGGGGAGAGGTTGAGGGCGAGGAGGGCGAGGAGGAGAAGGGCGAGGAGGGGGAGGAGGAGGAGGAGGAGGAGGGGGGAGGAGGAGGAGGAGGAGGGGGAGGATGAGGAGGATGAGGAGGATGAGGAGGATGAGGATGAGGGAGGAGGAGGAGGAGGAGGGAGGAGGAGGAGGAGGAGGAGGAGGAGGAGGAGGAGGGGGAGGGGGCGAGAGGGGCGAGGATGGCGAGGGGAGAGGATGAGGGCGAGAAGGCCATATCACGCTCGGTTTTCATGTGCCTCTGAAGGGCCTCTCCGGTTGGTCTCCCCACCTTCACAGAGGGTCACCCCTGGCCCCGGTTTCGAGGCCCCCTCCTTGCCCTGGGGGCTGGCCCTGTCAGCACGGGCCCCCTTCTTGCTTTGGGGCTTGGCCCTGTCAGCGAGGGCGCGAAGATTTTCGTGGTTCGCGGTTCTCGATTCGAGATTTTTCATCCTCATTTTCCTCGTTCTCCTCTTCTCTCCCGGGGGGGATGGCGCGACGGCGCGACGTTATTCGCGCCCCGCGCAGCGCGCAGCGCGAATCTGGCTGCCCTTGTGTTTTGACCTGGCCTAAAATGTGGTGCAGCCACGCCTTCTAGGCGCTCCCGCGTTGGCGCGAAGGAGCTTACCGCGCGGGAGACTCTTTACACTCCCCTTGCGCCTCATGGGCCCCCAACCCTCAGCCATGCAACGTCTTGAACAACATCGGGACGGATTTGTTTCTTCGTTTTCGGCCTCTGGGGGCCCTCGCTGGGCCGCGGGACCGTCACAACACGACACAGGCTGAAAAACCACCCTGAGGAAAGGATCGGAATTTTGGGGGACCCCGTATGGAACAAAATCCAGACATCGCATATTTTGGTTTCCTTCGCCCCCTTCCTCCTCCCCCCGACCTCTCCCAGGGCGCAAAACCTGACCATCACGTCGAGGCGGGTCCAGCCGTGGTGACTATGGCCCCGCCCCCCCATCCCCCCCACGAAAGCCCAGAAGAGCGGGAGTTACCGTCTCCTCCCCCCCTCCTGCCCCTCCCCCCTCCTTCTGGAGTTTTCTAAACGTTTCCAGGCGACTCCAGGGTCCCTGGTCTCTAGACGCCTCCAGGGTCCATTGACGCCCCTGGGGGGCTTCCGCAGACCTACAGGCGTCCAAGATGCCAAGCATGCACAGAAGTCTCTATCCTCCTCCCCACTCCTTCTCTCGCTTCCTCCTCCTCCTCCTCCTCCTCCTCCTCCTCCTCCTCCTCCTCTTCTCCCATAGAAAAGCAACTCATGGGCCCGTGGGCGCGCTGAGCCATTCAACTCTGAGGGCCGCAGAGACTGCCAGCTGCTGCACCACCTCTCGCTCCGCCCCCTGCCTCACGCCGGTGAGAGGGAGGGAGGGAGGGAGTCGACTACACGTAAGAGTGACCCTTCGCCGGAGTGACCTTTGGTGCGGGCTCACCGGGGTCCCCCCGACCGCTGAGCGCGATGCGATAGTGGCTGCTTGCGCCCTTGGATTTGGCCACCTTGCGCCCCCTCAGTCCGCGCACTGAAGGTCACTGTTACCCAGGGTCACTCTTGCGTGTCGCCGAGGGAGGGAGGGAGGGAAAGCACGAGGAATGTGCGCACTGAGCCGGCAGTCTCGCCTCTCAACTCCTTGGACCCCGCCCCTCGGGCGGCGCCTTTGCGCTGCTTCTCGGGGAGGGGCCGACGCGCTGCGGAGGCCAGCCGCGCGCGCCCGACGGGGGGGAGGAGCGGCGGCGATGGGGTAGGAGAAGGAGGAGGAGGAGGAGGAGGAGGAGGAGGAGGAGGAGGAGGAGGAGGAGGAGGAGGAGGACGGAGGCGGGGGGGAGGAGGAGAAGGAGGAGGAGGAGGAGGAGGAGGAGGAAGACGAGGAGGAGGAGGAGGAGGAGGAGGAGGAGGAGGAGGAAGACGAGGACGAGGAGGAGGAGGAGGAGGAGGAGGAGGAGGAGGAGGAGGAAGGGCGAGGGGGGTGGCTCTTTCTCTTTCTCTCCTCGCCGTCTGCTTCCTCTTCCTGCCGCTGCTGCTGCTGCTGCTGCTGCTGTCATTCACGTGGCACTGAGCGCCTTGGTCGCATTTTTTTCCGAAAGCTGGGCAGAGCAGTGTATACATGGTCGAGTGGCTTTGGGAGCTGTTCCCCTCCATGCGGTAATCATAGCAGCTGAACAGAACAGATCAGGACAGGGGGGGTGCGAAACGCGTCGGGGGCGCGGACGGCCCGGCCGCGAGCCGTGGGGAAGGCGGCAGCTGCAGAAGCGCGACTCGCCCGCTCTCCGGTCCGCTCGCTCTCCCCCCCTGGGCCTCCGGCAGGACATCATGGACAAGTTCTACAGGACCCACGCCAAGAACGAGGTCGCCCTCGCGCAGCAGGGGCCTGCGGATGACGCCCCAGAAGCTGGCTTCGGGAACTTCGAGGCGTACAAAGGCGCTCAGAGCCGGATGAGGAGGAGGAGGAGGAGGACGAGGAGAAGAAGGAGGAGGAGGAGGAGGAGAGGGGTGGTGGTGGTGTGGTGGTGGTGGTGATGATCATGACGGTGACGATGATGATGATGGTAGTAATTGTGGTGGTGGTGGTGATGGTGATTTTGATAATGACGATGAAGATGACGATGACGATGACGATGAAGATGACGAAGGCGATGTCGATGACGACGACGATGACGACGACCATGGCGATGGCGATGACGATGACGATGTAGATGAAGACGATGACGCTAATGGTGATGGTGGTGATGGTGATAATAGTGGTGATGATGAATATGAGTAGGATGAAGACGAATGTGAAGATGATGATGACGACGGCTATAATGACGGCGATGATGAAATCATGGTGGTATTAGTGAAGTTGATGGTGATGATAATAATGATGGCGAACATGATGATGAAGATGCTTACAACTATGAATTTTATGTTGGTGATGGTAATTGTGATGGAGATGCAACTGAATATTGATATGATGATGGTGAGCTTGATAATGATGATACTGATGGTAATGATGCTGCTGATGATGATGCTGATGCTGCTGATTATGCTGATGACGGTGATGATGTCAACAGCGATGACGACGTGGATGATGATGATGATGTTGAGGATCATAGTGATGATGATGATGATGCTGATGCTGATGATGATGATGATGATGATGATGATGATGGTGGTGGTGGTGGTGATTGTGATTGTGATGGCTGATGAGGAGGAAGGTGAAGATGCTGATGATGATGATGATGATGATGATGATGATGAAGGTGCTGTTGACGATGATGCTGATGCTGATGATGATGATGCTGATGATGCTAATGATCATTATGGTGATACTGCTAATGATGATGCTGCTGATGATGATCATGATGATGAGGAGGATGAGGATGAGGATGATGATGAGTATGATTATTGCTGATGATGATGATGACGATGATGATGATGATGATGATGATGATGATGATGATGCTGATTATGTTTGTGCTGATGCTAATGATGATGCTGATGATGATGCTGATGATGAGGATGGTGGTGATGGTGGTGATGCTGATGATGGTGATGGTGATGCTTGTGATGATGATGGTGATGATGATGATGATGATGATGCTAATGCTGCTGATGATAATGGTGGTGGTGGTGGTGGTGGATATGATGCTGATGATGATGATGATGCTGATGATGATGATGATGATGCTGATGATGATGATGATGATGATGGTGATGGTTGTGCTGGCGATGGTGGTGGTGATGGTGAAGGTGATGGCGATGATGGTGCGGATGAAGAGGAAGGTGAAGATCATGATGATGAAGATGCTGTTGACGATGATGCTGATGCTGATGACGATGGTGCTCATGATGATGATGATGATGATGGTGATGATGATGATGATGATGATGATGATGGTGGTGGAAATGATGATGTTGATGATGATGATGGTAATGGTGATGATGATGGTGTTGGTGCTGATGATGCTGACGACGATGATGATGATGATGCTGATTCTGTTGGTGATGATGCTGCTTATGATGCTGCTGATGACGATGCTGATGATGCTGGTGATGGTGATGATTCTGTTGATCATGATGGTGATGGTGATGATGTGGATGATGCTGCTGATGATGATGATGATGCTAATGCTGCTGATGATGATTATGGTGGTGGTGGTGGTGGTGGTGGCGATGCTGGTGATTATGATGGGTATGATGATGATGCTGCTGCTGCTGATGATGATGATGCTGATGATCATGATAGTGATGGTGCTGATGATGATGATGCTAATGATGAAGATGGTTGTGGTGGTGGCGGTGATGGCGATGGTGATGGTGATGACGATGATGAAGCTGATGAAGAGGACGGTGAAGATGATGATGATGATGATGCTGACGACGATAATGATGATGATGATGATGATGATGATGATGGAGATGCTGTTGACGATGAAGCTGATGCTGATGATGCTGGTGATTCTAATGTTGCTGCTGATGGTTCCTGCTGATGGTGATGATGCTGATGATGATGCTGACGATGATTATGATGATGAGGAGGAGGATGAGGATGAGGATGAGGAGGATGACGGGTATGATGATGCTGATGATGACGACGATGATGATGATGCTGATTATGTTTGTGCTGATGCTGATGCTGATGCTGCTGATGGTTCCTGCTGATGGCGATGATGGTGGTGGTGTTGGTGGTGATGATGATGGTGATGATGATGCTGATGATGCTAATGCTGCTGATGATGGTGGTGGTGGTGATGATGGTGATGGTGTGTATGATGATGCTGATGATGATCATGATGATGGTGATGCTGATGATGATTGTGGTGGTGGTGGTGACGGTGATGGTGATGGTCATGGTGATGATGATGAAGAGGAAGGCGAAGCTGATGCTGATGATTATGATGATGCTGATGATGACGATAATGCTGAAGACGCAGTTGACGATGATGCTGATGCTGATGATGATGCTAATGATGATGATAAATGCTGATGATGATGATCCTGCTACTGCTGATGATGATTATCATGAGGATGAGGATGATGATGATGATGATGATGATGATGATGATGATGGGTATGGTGATGCTGATGATGATGACGATGATGATGGTACTGATTATGTTGTTGCTGATGCTGATGCTGATGCTGATGCTGATGCTGGTGCTGATGCTGCTGATGATGCTGATGATGATGCTGCTGATGATGATGATTATGATGATGAGGAGGAGGATGAGGATGAGGATGAGGAGGATGACGGGTATGATGATGCTGATGATGATGACGATGATGATGATGATGCTGATTATGTTTGTGCTGATGCTGATGCTGATGCTGCTGATGGTTCTTGCTGATGGCGATGATGGTGGTGGTGTTGGTGGTGATGATGATGATGGTGATGATGATGCTGATGATGCTAATGCTGCTGATGATGGTGATGGTGGTGATGATGGTGATGGTGTGTATGATGATGATGATGATGATGATGATGATCATGATGATGGTGATGCTGATGATGATTGTGGTGGTGGTGGTGACGGTGATGGTGATGGTCATGGTGATGATGATGATGAAGAGGAAGGCGAAGATGATGCTGATGATGATGATGCTGATGATGACGATAATGCTGAAGACGCAGTTGACGATGATGCTGATGCTGATGATGATGCTAATGATGATGATGATAATGCTGATGATGATGATCCTGCTACTGCTGATGATGATTATCATGAGGATGATGATGACGATGATGATGATGATGATGATGATGATGATGATGATGATGATGATGATGATGATGGGTATGGTGATGCTGATGATGATGACGATGATGATGGTACTGATTATGTTGTTGCTGATGCTGATGCTGATGCTGATGCTGATGCTGATGCTGCTGATGATGCTGGTGATGATGATGATGATGATGATGATGATGATGATGATGATGATGGTGGTGGTGGTGGTGATGGTGATGGTGATGATGATGATGATGATGATGATGATGATGATGATGATGATGATGATGATGATGATGATGATGATGATGATGATGATGCTGGTGGTGATGTTGCTGATGATGATGTCAGGAGCTTGGCGATTCGGGATGGAGCCGAGGGGTGCGTGCACCGAGTCTGCAGGGGGCTCTGGCACCGCGCAGGCTGGGGGGCCTGCGATCCCGCCGCTCCCGGAGCCCCACCCCGAGGCCCAGCCCGTCGGGGGACAGCGTGCCCCTGAGGCCATGAGGCCTGTTTCGATTTCGACGATCTGATCCGGCCGCCTCGGTGGGGTCGAGGGCCCCCGGGCCCTCGACCCCTCCGAGCCGCCTCGAGGCAGCCCTCCGCCGCCGTGCCTCCTCGAGCCCGCGCGCCGCCTGTGCGCGGGGGGCGGCGTCCCGCGCGCCCCCCGCGCGCGCGGGCCAGCGGCGCGCGCCCCGCTCAGCGGCGCTGCGGGCCTGGGGCCGGGGCGCCCGCCCGCGGGCCGCGGCCAGGGCCGCCAGCGGGCCATGACCGGTACGAGGTGATTTGACGAGCTGATCCGGCAGGAGGTCGAAGGTGCCCTGGCCAGCTCTGCCCTGCGCAGGTGATGCGGCCGAGCCGATGGGAGCGGGCTCTGGCGGCGACTGCGCCCAGGCAGCTCCGAGGCAGTTCAGGAGGTCGCCAGCGTGCCCCAGATGTGGAGCTCCTCAGGGGACGCCGTCTCACCAGCTCTTGGAGTGCCATGCGAACGAAGGGCTGGGGGGCACCCACCCAGAGTTGTTCGATGAAGCCCACGCGGGAGTGGACGATCTCCCCTGCTGCTGGCTGCGATGCATGCCACCAGCTGGGTGGACTCTCGCCCCGATCACGGCTTCGGTGGAGCGTTGCACGGGAGTTCCGCCATCCCTCCTCGAAAGGACTATCGAGCTCCAACTGTGGGACTGGGGTGGGCCCGAATGGATCGGGGGCAACGTATTCGTCTGAGATTCCTTCGAGGCAGTGTTGCTGGGGTTCCGCTGTGCTCAGAGGAGGCGAACCACCCTACCGGGTTGGGGCCACGAGGCACAGCCCCGCCACGAGCAAGGCGTGCCTCCGGAGGAGCTGGAGGGGGGTGTCCAGGCTCTCCGACACACCATTGGCTGGACTACACCGATTGTCGACAGCGCTGTCGTGGCGCGTACTTTTTGAACAGGGCGGCTTTGAAGGAATTCTAGAGACTTGCCAGAGGTGGGCAAGTCAACATGATTAGGGTACAATCCCGCGCTTCCCCAGAGACCGTGGAGGGTGACTGGATTCCCCCAGCCCGCTAGCTGGTCAATGGGGCGGCCGACCATGCGGCCGAACAGTGGGCTACCCGAGCCCGGCTCCCAGGGTGGGCCATGAGTGAAGTGTTGGCCAGAGACGAGCGTTTTGCGAACGTGCTCGAACACCCTACTTCGTGATCGCTCTTGACGTTGCCGGGCGGGCTCCA